TCCAGGGGGAAGCCAAGGCGATGGTGCTCCCAGGACCTGGCGTGATCCCCCCCAAACACAGGGCTGAGATTCTGGGTAGTGGGAGGCAGGGCAGTCTGTGCTCGTGGCTGGACAGAACCTGTGGGTGGTGGATCTATGGACGGAAAAGGGCTCGCTTTGGCTGGAGCAGGGAGATTGTTTCAGGAAGAAAGGGAGATGCCAGAATCTTGAATGCCAGGTTCAGACTTTGGACTTGATGCTCACAGGAGTTTGGAGAAGACAGGGGAGAACAAGAGCAGAAGGGGGTGCAAAGAGATGTTTCCAACCAGTCAAAGAGTGTTCCAGCTTCAGCAAAGTATTTAGCTTAATACGAGGGGAGTTAGAGAAGTAGTTTGGAGGATTAATCCAGCTGGATATGTAGATGGTCTCTGAGGGGGGACCAAATGCCAGCCTGGTTTTGCATGCTGTGGCATCTCAAATCTGAGCAGGTAACAAAGCTGCCCCAGAGCTTGCCCAGGGCACCCAGGGAGCCTTTGCTGGGCTTTACCTGGGCCCAGACAGCACCCCGCCCTGGGCAGCTGGACCATGGCTGATAAAAGAGCTTGTTTCTCATCACTCCAAGCCGCGGGTACCTCCGCTGCTGCCCCTGCCCTTGCCAAGGTCTCCAAACTCTTCCAGCTCAGGCCCAAATCTCCTCAAGTGATGCCTATTGAAGAATTCCAAGGTAAGAGGAAGGACCCAGGGCGAATCGGCCCTCCTCCAGCACCTCTTTCCTGACTCCCACTGGGGAAAAGACACGATGCAGGACAAGGACCGGTGCCTGGCTCAGAAAACCCTCCCTGAGAGCTGGGTCAAGGTGAAACCGAGCTCTCTCCCCTCCAGGCCTCCCTCCCCAAGGGAGCTGGGAGCAGGTGTGAGTCAGAAGCACAGTGGGCAGGCACAGGGCGGGGAGAGCAACTTCCAGAAATAGCATGTCCTGGCTCCCCTGGGAGGTGTGGCCTGGGGCTTGTCTTGGTTGAAGCAAGATTTGTGGGACAG